TATTTGCACCCTTGTAGGTGGGAAACATTGCGTTCCTGTGAGAACAGTGTAGTGGACTTCACCGCCACTGACCCACATTTATTAGGGTGTGACGCAAACTTGTGGACAGTAAAACACAGAAATATTCCTGTTTTTTACTGTCCAGCGTAAGACAAATGTCATTACACTTTACAAAGATGAGTTTTTAGCTGCTTTCTAGCAAAGACATCACTAAACCTAATCACATGATCTGAGACCTGCTGTGGACATATGGATGCATAGTTCACTGATATATGCGGGACTAAAAGTCAAAACCAGAGCTTTAAAAGTGACCCTGAAGTTAATAGGGAGCCAGTGTGTTTATACACTTCTCTGTATTTAATTATTTGTTATTATTAATCTCTGGTTATCTTTCACAGTATGTCTTTGTCCTGTCTCCATTCACTTACACCCAAACAGTCATGGAAGATGGCCGTGCCCTCCCTGAGCCTGGTTCTGCTGGAGGTTTCCACCTGTTAAAAGGAAGTTTTTCCTTCCTGCTGTCGCCAAAGTGCTGCTCATAAGGGGTCATATGATTGTGGCTTAAAAGTGATATCTCACTGAATGTCATCTGGGTAGCAGTGATAAGAAACGTAGTTAAAATTTGCTGAAGAAGAACCTATATAACAGAAATTGCAAAGGCCCCAAAACAGCACCTTGTGGCACGCCATATTCAGAACAGCCACAGAAAAGAAATAATCCAAAGTAGACTCCAGTATGACCTGTGAGTATGTCAGTCTTTTGAGCAGGAGCTCTGTGGTAGGCAGTAAACAAAGTTCCTCCTTAATTCAACTCCTATGTGGTTTATTTCTTATCAAAGTTCTCAATCTTTTTTTTTTTTCATTCTTCTTATGTGATTGAAATTAATGAACAAATGCACTGCTGAGGCACAACTGTCAATTTCCTACATCATATAAGAAGTCAGACCACTGCAGAATAAAATGTAAAAGGATAGGCAAATATTGTCATATATGAAATTATTTTAGCTTTTTTTTCACCTCTTATGTTAGTTTTATATTTTTAAAACTTTTTTTGAATTCTACCCGTCCATTTTATTAACTGTTTATCCAACTTGGCGTCACAGAGGCTACCTAGTCTATCCCAGCTCTAACAGGGAA